CTCAAAAAGGTTGCCTACCCCTGTTTTAAATGGTTTCAGTTCTGTTGTTAAGGGTTTGTAAGTGCTTTTAACTGCATTTGTTTTAATTTTTGTAAGCTCAGAACAGGAAAGCCAGTGTGGTAAAGTGGTTTGAGCATTAGACTATGACTCTGGAGACCAGGGTTCCAACCCTTGCTTGGCCATGGAAACTCACTGAGTGACTTTGGGCAAGTGACACTCTCTCACCCTCAGAGGAACACAAAAGCAACTTCTCTCTGAACTTTCCAAGAAAACCCCATGACCTTAGGGTTGCTATAAGTTAGAAGGCACACAGCCAGTGGCATTGGGGGAAAGAAAAGGTATAAATGCATAACCTGTGCCATGTTTTCCTCCCACTGCTACACCTCCCATCTTCTCTTCTCTTTTTTATGACTTGCCTCCTTTTATGGCGTTGTGTGCTGTGTAAAGGAGTACCAAGTGTCAAATGCCAACTTAAATAGAAAGCAGGAAACGCAACGCTGTTGTAGCAAAACAAGGTTCAGAGGGAGAAGGAGACAAAGTGAAGTAAGGAGAGGTGGTATCGAGGCAGCAGTGGGGAGCAGAGGGAAGGTGGTAACCCTAGCCCTAGCTGGACTTAATAAAAACAGAACTTCTTTTTTCTCCCTAGAAATCATGTAAAATGTATAAAAGTGTTAATATCAAGTCACCAAAAAAAGGGAGTAAAATCAATGATTCCTTAATTACTGAACACCTTATTGTGATACTACAAGCTTTTGTTGCATTTTGCAGCTCTGCATGCACACACACACTGTAATTGTTCCATTGCTTTCTGGGTGGTCTTTGCAAACCTCAACAAGACTGTTCCCCAAAGTTAGACTAGCCTCCAAAATGTTAGCATTAAGCCATAGAGATAAGAATTGGAATCAAGGCAGGTCAAATCTCGAGTTGTAAATCTATGAAAATGTCAATCATAAGGTATGCAGCTTCACTCACTAGCTAAACACACGAAAGGACAAGGCCAGGTTGCTTCTCACAAAATTATTAGGCAGAATACTGAGTACACATTTATCTTGGCTCCTGTAAGAGCAAAAGATTTGGTCAGTCCCAAGAGACAAGTGATAGTTTGGATCATTTTCACCCAGTCAGGTTATATGGCAACTCAAGATGAACAAAATTATAATCCAACATATCTGGATCTGAGGGGAAATTGGTTCCTCCACCTTTTTACGCTTGTTGTGTGCCTTCAAGTTGTTCCAGACATACGGCAACCCTAAGGGGTATTCTTGGCAAGATTTGTTCAGTAGAGATTTGCTATTGCCTTCTCTTGAAGCTCAGAGCATGTGACTTGACCAAGGTCACCCAGTGGGTTTTGTGGCTGAGCTGGGAATCAAATCCTGGTTTGCAGAGTCATAGGCCAATGCTCAAATCACTATGCCACACTGGCTCTCCTTTTTACTCTTACTCCAACATAACTAAGCAAACTAAGCCAAAACACATTTCCAGCTCAACAGTGAAATATATAAAAATAAAACTGAATGCTTTCTTACAGCTAGGTTTCTTCCAACTCTGTGGTTTTGTTGTCAAAATAAATGGTATCATTGCAAGTCTAGTTTGAGTGGCAAGCAAGGATGCAGTGATGAGAATTCATAAAAGAAAGAGAGATTTGGAGCTGTATAAGCTTGGAGCATGAGGCAGCAGATCCAGATGTTGGGCAATCTGCCTATTATTTGATGTGCCCAACCTCCTGCCTGTCTGTTGAGGAGCAAGCCTGTAGTGACATAGTGGAATCTGCATGGGCTACAGCCATGACCTGGTTTCAGTGTCACATCAGTGAAGGAGGCTCCTATGGTCTCCCAGCTCAGTCTGACCTAGTTAGCCTGCACCTCCAAGGTCCCATGATGGGATATAGGAAGGGAAAGTAGGGGGATACTAAGCCCTATCTTTCCCAAACTGGATCCAGCCCTATGTCAAATACATACTAACAAATAATGATACACTTCAAAACCACCATCCCCAGCTGCCAATTTGTTGGCCACTTAGAAGCCCATGCAAATGATGTACAGGCTCTAGGAAAGCTGACTGACACTGATGAATATAGTGGGCCTGACTATATCCCTGCAAAAGTTTGTCAGGTGGGAAAAGATGATCCATACACACTGTAAAGCAGGGGTAGGCAACCTTTCCCCTTTAAGGGCCGAGGGACTTCAGCTCCCAGAATCCCAGGAGCTATTGGCCAACATGGGACTATTGGCCAACATGGCTGAGGCTTCTGGGAGCTGAAGTCCCTCGGCCCTTAAAGGGGAAAGGTTGCCTACCCCTGCTGTAAAGCATATCATATATGGATAAGCTAATATAGGGTTGCCTGTAAGGTGCCTGGTCCTCCTCAACTTCCTTTCTGACTTGAACCTTCTTGCAGTTGATTGTAGCTGATGTGCACCTATATTTGAGTGATAGGGAGAATGCAAGAGACACATGTCTGATGCTTTTGATACGTTTCTGCTCTTCTGATGCCATTCTTGAGAATATTAAATACAGTTGGCCTTCTCTATCCACAGATTCTTTATCTATGGATTCAACCATCCACAGCGTGAAAATATTCCAAAAAGATATCAGTTCCAAAAAGTAAACCTTGATTTTGCCATTCTATATACAGGATACCATTTTACCATGTCACTGTATTTAAGACTTAAGCATCCATAGATTTTGGTGTCCACAGGGTGTCCTGGAACCAAACCGAGAGGATACCAAAGGCCCACTGTAGAAGTTCCTTCTGTTCATGGATTTAAGATCATGACTGAATGGAGTACTAGAGGTCACTGTGGACCACACTAGGTTAGCAGGCTCTGTTGATGTGAGAGTTGCTTCTGTGGTTTGTTCTCCAGTGTATGTGTATGTGCTTACAAGTCGCCTGCTGACTTATAGTGAGCCCATGGATTTTATAGGGTTTTCTTAGGCAAGGAATAATCAGAGGTGGTGTTGTCAGCTCCTTCCTCTGAAATATAGCTTACAGCACTTGGTCTTTCTTTCATATTTCGGAAGCCATGTAATCAAATATGCTTTTCTTTCATATTTTGGAACCCATGTAATCAAAGAATGGTATGATGCCTTTTCCATTATGAAATGGGCTTCTTACTGCAGTTTTTTCAGCTTTTCAAGGGATATAGTACCATTATGTATAATAATTTTGGTATTTGAATGTTTTATTTAGATATAATATGTACTTTCTTTGTGAAAAAATTCTATAGTATCAGTGAAAAATAAAAGAAGAAAAGCATTAGAATAATTTGTGGAAGTTAAATGGATATGGCACAATAACTTTCATTATATTTCTGATGGTACAACACTAGTCTTTTTCAAAGTAGCTCCGTTACACTTGGGTGTAAGCCATAATTGTTGGGAAATCTTTGCATTCTCTTCCCCCCTACTTAGATAGATAGGGATTTCCTCCCCTCCTCTCTCATTCAAAAACTAACCATGTGACTTAAGTCACTCCCTCTTTGGGACTAACACACATTCTTTCTCAAGATTTTCAACTGAGTTGTTGGTCCTCCATCTTCCTGCTCTCTCAGTTTTCTTTTGAAAGATAGTGAGATAAACATTTCTCTTTACCTGAACTATTCACTAGTTAGAGCAGCGGTTCTCAAATAGTGGGGTGGGCCCCCCAGGGGGGGCGCGAGGCTCCGTAAAGGGTGGCCCATTACGGCTGGAGAGAGGGAAATTGTCCCAGCGCAGCCCCAGTAGCAGCCCGACGTGCTCTATCCTGATTGGTCAAACCCACCCATGTGACTATTTACAGTCGTGCAGGGGCGCGCGAAATGTTTTCTTCTTTCCTGGGGGGGCGTAACAGAAAATAATGGAGAAGCACTGAGTTATAGTAAGATATAACCTTTTATGTAAATATAGATTAAAGCCATTGTTTTAAACTACAAACTATGTGTTTGTCGTTTTTTGGAGTCAGTCTTAGTTTTTAGAGAAGCATAGTTAAGGAAAGGCACATTTCTGCTACTCTCCTAATTTAAAGCCAGACTCTAACAGGCTTGGCTTTCCTATTTTGATATTTAAATATTTTTGTTTCCTTAAAAAGGCTGAAACCTTAGGAAACTTAAATTACTCCACAATAGTAAAACCAACACAAAATAAAATCCAAAGACAGTATTTGCTTAGTAAGCAGGTCATGACAAATTTGATGATAAAAGGTAAAGGTATTCCCCATTGACAAGGTTGTCAAGTAGTGTCTGATCATAGGGCACGGTGCTCATCTCCATTACTAAGCATTGTCAGAGACTACTCTGTGATCCTGTGGCCAGCATGTTTACCTTCCCACCAAAGTGGTACTTATTTATCTACTTGCATTTGCATGCTTTCAAACTGCTAGGTTGGCAGAAGCTGGGACTAGTAACAAAACAGTTTATATAAATGCAATTCATATAAATTTATATAAATGCAATGCAATTATATAAACAGGATATAATTATCATGCCCTATACATTTAGTGATAATTGAAATAACCCTAATGCACTTTGAGCCTGCAAAACTTTGTTTTCAGTTAAGCATCTGTTTGCTGTAGGCTAATTAAAATGTAGTGTTGATGCTCATGGGGATTTGACCAAAAGAGTAGAAAAATTAACCTAGTGTTGATAAGAAGTAGTTCTTGATTATCCCTCTCTCATATTATCGTAAACAGAGCAGTTCAACAAGTATGGGATTTATCTGCTGCTGAATCATTCAATCCCAGACATCACAAAATAAATTGATTGGAATATCTTTTTAAATAACTGTCTTAAAACCACAGAGGATATCCAGTGGAACCACAAAAGGGCCCAAGCCCTTCTCACTGGAAATGATGTTAGATCAGTTAAGCAGCCTTCATAGATATGATTAAATTTAAGCATGGAGAATTGAGGTCAGTTTAACTTTGGGAAGCAAAGAGCTCAGCCTGCATCAATACTTCTTTTGGTTTGGTTTTGAATATCCTTTTACCTACCCTCAGTTGACTTCTAATTAAATGGGCTTGTGAAAAGCTGAATAGAACAGCAAAAGCTGATCTGTCTTGCACAGCCAAAAGGCTCCTCTCAAGACAAAGAGAAAATTCTAGTCCAGTAACTGAAAATGCAAGAATGAACTCCTGTAACTAATCTCTCTCAGACTAAAGAATTTGTTCTAACTTTTCTTATTCTTTCTAGTTCTAAGGTCAGAGTGACCA